TGATGGCTGGCCCCAAGGGAACTTCCCAGCTAGGGAAAAAGTGGAGGGAATCACCTGGGAGGGGTGAAGGGCTCAGGGTGCAGGAAAAGGGCAGCAGCCACCAGATCCAGGCTCTCGTCAGTGAACCCCTCACCAAGAAGCTGGGCACGCACCCATCGCTTGGCCAGCCGCGCCACACCAGAGAAGGCTGGGTGCTGCTGCTGCAGTCTGGGGAGAAGAGGGAGTGTCAGCAAGACTCAGGCACCCAGGGCCCAGTCTGGGTGCTAACAGGTTATATATGTAATCTCATGTTCTCTTAACAAAGGCTACAACAAATTGACCCTAGTGTTATCTCCATTTTACAGATGAGAAATATAGGAACCAGGGAGGAAAATCTGACCATAGGGTCACAGTCAGTAAGCGGCAGAGCCAGGATTCCAGAATGCTGACTCCAGAACTCATACCCCTAACTATGATACCATCTGGACCCCAGAGAGTTAGGTGGCTAGGCGAGGAGGATGGGGGCTAGAAGGGGCTAGATGGACCCCAGACAGCAAGAACCTGTGTAGGTGGCCTTACCCATGCAGGACACTGGTGAGCAGTGGCAACTGCCTTGTGTCTCTCTCAAGGCAGAGGGAGGCAGGTGTGTCTCTGAGCGAGTTCAACCCCTCTGGACTCTGCACCTCCCTCAGGATCTGGGGCTCCCGATGATAGGCCACGCGAACCCGAAACACAAATCCATCCTTTGGAAGAAGGTACGGAAAGAGAAGGCTATGTCAGCCCAGGATCCCAGGGGTACTCTGAGGCCTACGGCCCTGTTAGCTTGGTGCCCCAAGGGGTGTCTTCTTCCATGCTCTGACATCCCTGGTGCCCCGCCTCCCTGGGAACATAGCTGCCTGCACCAGCCTAACCTTGAGGACATCCGTGTGTGTGGCAGTGGCGCGGCACTGCAGACCATGCTGTTGCCTCAGCAGCTCTGCCAGGCGCAGCTGGAAGGCAGCTCGTACCCGCCGCACGGCCTCAGCATCCTGTGGCCACTGGCCACTGCCCTCCAGGTGACAAACCACTGAGGGAGAAGAGGAGTAAGAGGTTTCATACTGTGGCCTGGAGTGGGAACTATCCCTCCCACTTCCTCCCAAGGACCCTCTTACCAGGCATGGGCTCCACATAGGCTGGACAGGGCTTATCAGGCCGGGGCAACAGTGAGGACCTCTCTCGCAGAGGCTCATAGAAGGAGGAGGCTGGTCGGACTGGAGTTGGTGGGAATACCTGTGGAAGAAGGCAGGCTGAGGAAGGGGCCTGGGACTGAGAGGGAGTGCCCAGAGTCGGGAGTTGGAACAGTAGAATACTGGGTGACCAGAGGAGAGGTGGGGCCACCAAGCAGAAAGGTCACCTGCCCTGTGGCAACTCACCTCTGTGTAGCGCAGCACTGGATGAGCTCCCTGAACAGCAGACACAGTCAGTGGGAGACCCTCCAGTCCCCACAGTAGGCGACTGAGGTCATCGTAGCAACGTACTGCCACTGCCAGGGCTTCCTCGCCTGTGCTGGAGGTCTGAGAGGGAGAAGACGGTCAGGAGGCTGGACCCTGGGAAAGGCCAGCACCACCTGGATTCTGTCCCAGCTCAGGCGGCAGCAGAGCCAGCACCGCCACCTGCTGGACATGCCAGGAAGTGCAAGCTGGCTAAAACAGAAAGGACTCTCCCTGCAGATTACTCTACAATCACTAGCTTTGACCCTGAGACCCTTACCTCTTTCAGGCCTTGGATAAGTGCATCCAGGGGACCCCCCACATAGTGAATACAGGTTTCTGGGATGTCGGCATGGCTGAAAAAGAGGCACAGACACAGTGAGAAAATGTGGGGCTATGTTCTCACTCATCTGCCTGGGCCATCCCCCAGAAAAGGCTCCCCAGCCCACACTGCCTCCTGGAATCCAGATGCTAACACTCACAGTGCCAAGAGGTGGGTGACCACCTGGTGGGGAATAAGGCGCTTCTGGGACATAGAGGCTGCCTCCCAGACCACAGCTTCCCGGATGGCTCCATCCTGGAAACGCCGAAGCTCCGAGCGGGATCCCCAGAACTGGCGGAATTCAGCAGCCTGAGGAGGCAAGGGTGGTAGCAGCACTGGAGAAGGAAGGGCTCTGTGGACCCTCCCCAACAGGCTTCAGTCCAGGTCCCGTGGGGACGAGCTGCCCCGCTCCTTCCAGTGTATAAGCTGGGGTCCCTCACCTCAGGCTGGTCTGCCTCTGGACCCAGCTCAAGGATGCTGGTCAGTCCCTCAGGCCGGAGGAGGAGTCCCAGGGTCAGGGTTCCAGAGTCTTTATGCTTTGGTGGATCTTGGCTGATGTCCCACTGCAGAATTTCAAAAGGCTGAGCTCAGTCCCTGAATCTTCCAGCCTGGCCTGGAAACCTATGTACTGGCCAGCTAGAAACACCTAGTTAGAGGAATGTCCTTTGTGTCTCTTGGGACCCTGGATACAGCCCCACTCAGACCCAAACTCCCCAACCTACACCACCTCACCTCCGGGACTGGGGGCCGAGAGTGAGCCAGCAGGTGCATCCGTGTCCCCAGGCCCTGCTCCAGGAGGGTGGTCAGGGGGCCCAAAGCAGCTGAGACATAGTCCCCACCATTGTCCTGCAACTCTGGCCAGAGCTTCAGCCGGTGGCATGCTGCCTGCAGGCGACTCAGTGGACGAAGACTGGAGGGGTACAGAGGGCCAAAGAGGGGGAATCAGGTTGCTGGTCCCTAGTACCATCTCCTCCCTCAACAATCTGAGTCCCTATCTAAAGACCTTTGCCCCACCCCAAAGAGACAGGACCCGCCAACATACCCTGTCACCCCTAAACTCACTGCAGGACGTGGTCAAAAGCCCGGATCATGGGTTTGGGGGTCATCAACAGCAGCTGGAACCCGTCATCAGCTTTGCTGTCCAGCAACATCATAGACAGCCGTGCCTCATGCTGCACCTGGAGCCACGGAGTAAAAAGAGACCATCCCTGTGCCCTTCATTGATCCAAGGGCTTAGACCAGGAGACATGCCCTGAATTTAACTCTTTGAACAGGAGTTTCTAGGGTTCTGGTACTTGCAAAATGGACAGAGTCTAGGCTGGAACATCAGGGGACTGGGAGCCCATGGGTACCTGGTGGTAAGTAGAGGCAGTGATATCAGCACAGAGGTTGAGGCGGCCTGAGGAGTCCAGGAAGACAACGGAGAAGGCCTGGTGGAAGTCAGCCAGGGCCGGCTTGGGAGGTGTAGAGAGAAGCAGGTCAGCATTGGCACCTTACTTTTGGACCTCCTGGCATAGACCTGGCCCTTCCCCAACTCACCAAAGAGGGATCTGAGCTGAGACATAAACTGATCCCGTTGACTGTCAGGTCTGTAGTGGCTAAAGTGAACCACAAGTGTATCAGAAGGTATCTCCCTCTGGGGACCCAGCCCTAGTGACACCCTCCCTCAGCTGCTTCAGTTTGCTCATCTGTCTGATGGCAAGAAACCAAAAGACCCCTGCTGGGATGAAAGGATTCCGGGAGGAGTGGAGCCCAAGGCCTTTCCCCACCTAGTTGCCTTACCCAGAAACTGCAAGACACTTCTCAGGACCTGGTAGCCACTCATGGTGGTATGGATCTTGCGTGTAGACACAAGGAAGACAACCAGCATGGAGACAACAAACCCAGTAAGCCCACCCTGGCCCTGAAAGAGACAGAGGGAGAGGCCTGAGGTCAGAACCTGCCCATCACGCATGTGGTCAGGCAGGGAGGCTGGGCACCCCCAACTCACCTTGTCCAGCTCCCGCTGCCGCAGCCAGACCTTCAGAAGTGCCACACCGTCCTTCAGGCCCTGAGCTGAACCCAGCATGGTTGACAGGAGCTGCAAATGGGACTCGAGAGCTGTATCCTGCAGGACCCATGTGTTGTAGTGGGGGGTAGGGGGCTCTGGGCTACCTGTGGGAAGAAAAGGGAAACCATGAGAGGAAAAGTCCCCACACCTCCACCCTCCACCTCCACCTCGACACCAGAGCCTGCTCACCATCCCCTGCAGGACTCTGCCCTCGGTACCAGGCAGAGCGCACATTGTTCTTGGTTGGCAGCAGGCGGCATGGACGGAAGAAGTCAGGTGGAGGGCACGGATGCAGACGTACAGTGACCAGGTGCTCATCCTTCCCTGGCAGAGATGGGGGTCCTGAGACTCTGCAGAAGCCCTTGGAGCCAAAGCGTTCCCCATCTTGTCCTCCCTTACTTGAGGCCTCTGTGCCTCCTCCTCCAAATTTACCACCCCATGCTGTGCCCTCAACCCAGTGTGTCTCAGTCTCACCACGTGGCCGCAGCAACAGTGAGGGTTTCAGGTGGCAGCCATTGGTGTAGGAGAAGCGAACACTGCCAAAGAGGGGGTCCTGGGCCAGGTGGTGAGCCAAGTGGGCCAGGTAGAGGGCACGCTTGCGGAAGTAGCGCTGGTTCAACCCGTCCTTGTCCTGTAGGATTTCCTGGAAGGGCCGGGGAGAAGAGAAGGCCAGGCACATAAGTGCTTGTGGAGCTGCAGGCCAAGATGAAGCCAAAGTGAGAGTGCCAGGCTCCTCTGCTGACAGAAGCGCCTGAGACATAGTTAGCAACACTAGGCCCACATCTCAGATCAGGAGGGCAAAGCTCCAGAAGGACAGCAACTGGCCAAGGAATCTAAGCCGCCCTCAGGATGCTTGCAATGGTCCACTCTTCTGATTTAGAATTCAGACATCGATCCCCTGGCAAATGGCAGATAAGAAAGAGGGATCCAGGGATTTGTAGATAGTCAGGTGGTGGGCCCCTATTCCCTAAACCCTTGACCTTACCCTGGGCATGGTCAGTGCCACATCCACATTGACGTCTGGCCTGATGCAGGTGCCTAGAAGGTAGCTGCCCACAACAACAACCTGGGCTGGGGGCAGGAAGCGGAAACAGCCCTTCACAGCATAGGGCAGTTGGTGGAGGGGTACTCGAACCCCAGCTGGGAGCCATGACTGGTCAGTGAGCTGTGGGGGCAGAGATGAGGATACATATTGATTCAACTGACTTCCTCACACGTAGCCTTTATGTCTAGAAGACATCTTAACACATCAGTATGTTTGAAACCAAACTCCCATATGTCTTCCCTGCTAAGACAACTCCATATGACTTTCCCAAGCCAAAAACACTTAAACCACCTTATCTCTGTTAAGAATACCCATTTTACTACCAAAATGTATTTGGAAATGGACTTCTCTAAAAATAAATTTTTTTTTTTCATTATAAGACAAAAATGTAATGAAAATTGGACAGTGAGTATTTATAATCCACAGGGCTAAATAGTTACAGTGGAGTAGGAATTTAAAATACAATAGATGCTGGAGTAAATGTTACATATTATCAGCATCTGATTCATCTTCTTCCTTCAGAGACCCCTTAGCATATTTTTTTTTTCTTTTTTTTTTTTGAGACAGAGTTTCGCTCGTTACCCAGGCTGGAGTGCAATGGTGTGATCTCGGCTCACGGCAACCTCCACCTCCTGGGCTCAGGCAATTCTCCTGCCTCAGCCTCCTGAGTAGCTGAGATTACAGGCACACGCCACCATGCCCGGCTAATTTTTTGTATTTTTAGTAGAGACGGGGTTTCACCATGTTGACCAGGATGGTCTCGATCTGTTGACCTCGTGATCCACCCGCCTCAGCCTCCCAAAAGTGCTGGGATTCCAGGCTTGAGCCACCGCGCCCGGCCTCCTTAGCATATTTCTCTGCTTCTTCCCTTATATCTTTTGGAACAATTTCATGCCTTCCATTAGTTAATTCACCAACCCAGCTGAGTTCTAGTTCAAAAGCTTTATCCTTAACTTTATCATGTACTATGTAAATTATTTTTGCAACTTCTTTAACAATATCACGGCAGGTCATTTCTTTCATCTGAAGCTTCTCTATTTCCGTCTTTGCAGCTTGCCTGGCTTTGCCAATGGCACAACCCCAATAACTGTATGAAACACCTGATGGGTCAGTCATGCAGAGCTGCACACCGTCATTCACACTGCAAGACCCTAACATGAAACTGCAGCCCAAAGGTCTAACAGCATGCGCATACATGGCCACTCTGTCTGCAAGTGGAATGTTGTAGCCAAAGTTAGATCTAAAGTTGGAAGCTTCTTCTCTTGCTATATCTGCTAAAGAACGAGCATCTGCCAACAAACCTGCTACTGCCATTCCAACATGCCGATCAACATTAAAAAGTTGTTTGTTGGAACCTTCTTCATAAAGTTTAGAAAGGACTAATATTTCTACCCCAAAGACAACAGCATCTTTACATCTGATTCCAATAGCTGTACTACTATTTTCCACAGCCTTCATAGCATATTCAATTTGAAAAACTCTTCCGTCAAGAGAGAATGTAAAGGCTGACAGGTCATACCCGGTGACGATGGAGCTCATCGTGCTAAACCCACAAAATTTTTTTAAAAAGAGAGAAAAAGAAAAAAAAATCAGGCAGGGCGCGGTGGCTCATGCCTGTAATCCCAGCATTTGGGAGGCCAAGGCAGGCAGATCACAAGATCAGGAGTTCAAGACCAGACTGGCCAATATGATGAAACCCCGTCTCTACTAAAAAATACAAGTTAGCTGGACATGGTGGCTTGTGCCTGTAATCTCAGCTACTTGGAAGGCTGAGGTAGGAGAATTGCTTGAACCAGGATCCGGGAGGCAGAGGTTGCAGTGAGCCAAGATCACACCACTGCACTCCAGCCTGGGCTACAGAGCAAGACTCCATCTCAAAAAAAAAAAAAAAAAGACAGTGACTCACACTTGTAATCCCAGCACTTTGGGAGGCTGAGGTAGGTGGCTCACCTAAGGTCAGACCAGCCTGACCAACATGGGGAAACCCCATCTCTACTAAAAATACAAAATTAGCCAGGTGTGGTGGCGTGTGCCTGTAATCCCAGCTATTCGGAAGGCCAACCCAGGAGATGGAGGATGTGGTGAGCAGAGATCATGCCATTGCACTGTAGCCTGGGCAACAAGAACGAGACTCCATCTCAAAAAAAAAAAAAAAAAGAAATGAATCGCCTCTCTACTTTCCACCCTAGTTTCAGCCACCGTTTCTCAGTGCCTATATTAGTTCCTAACTCTCACCGTTGTCCCTCTCCATTCTACTTTTGACACAACAGCCAGAGTAAACTTTTCTAAAACTAAACTTCTTAAGGCTGGAAAAGTGAAGTTGTTTTTTTTTTTTTGAGACGGAGTTTCCCTCTTGTTACCCAGCCTCCACCTCCTGGGTTCAGGCAATTCTCCTGCCTCAGCCTCCTGAGTAGCCGGGATTACAGGCACGTGCCACCATGCCCAGCTAATTGTTTGTATTTTTAGTAGAGACAGGATTTCACCATGTTGCCCAGGATGGTCTCGATCTCTTGACCTCGTGATCCACCCACCTCGGCCTCCCAAAGTGCTGGGATTACAGGCTTGAGCCACTGCGCCTGGCTGAAAAGTGAACCTTTAAAAGTTAGAGGGCATCACTGCTCTGCAAAATAAAACCCAGTAGTGGCTCCCCATCTCATCCAGAGCAACAGCCAAAGTCCTTATTTTGGGATACAATTCCCTGCATGATATGCTACTTTTCCCCATCACCTTTTTAAACTCATCTCCTTCTATCTTTCTCATTCATTCCAAGGAATGTACCTGGAACATTCCTGCCTTTGTACTGGCTGTCCCCCTTCCTGGAATGCTCTTATTCCCTTAGATATCTATATAGCTGACTCACCTTCTTCAAGTCTTTACACAAAAGTCACTTCAGTAAGGCCTACTTTGTGAACACGTAAACTTATAAACCACTCCCATCCTCCAATATGCCCAATCCCGACCTTGCTTGTCCTAGTTTTTCCTTTTTCCAGTGTTTACCACATTCTAACACTGCCATTTAGTTTACCTGTCATACTTATTATCTATTATATATAACCTCAACATTAGAGCATAGGCTATTTTGTTTACTGATATATCGTAAGAACACAAACACTACAAGGCATGTACTTGCTAAATGAATACACAGATGACCACGCTCCCAGCTAAGCTTCCTTGCCTTGAGAATGAGCTCCCTGCACCCCTACCCTTAAAGAGAGTAACAACAAGGCCCCTGCTGGAGTCACCCTCACAGTACTTAGTATATACTGAGGCAGTCAGGGCATCCTAGAGGAAATGGAACCTGGCAGGGTGGGCCCTCATGGGCTTCCCAGTTTTCCAGGCCACCTGCTTACCTCTGTCTCAGGGACTGAGGGCACCCTCATGACCCGCTGGTTGACCTCCCGTAGGAAGGCATCAATCCGATCCTTCTTCTTCTCTGACAGCCTTACTTCCTTTAGTAGCTCCTCTACCTGTAAGAGAGGTTGGAAGAGGCCTGGAGCGGTGGCTCACGCCTATAATCCCAGCACTTTGGGAGGCCAAGGCAGGTGGATCACGAGGTCAAGAGATCAAGACCATCCTGGTCAACAAGGTGAAACCCCGTCTCTACTAAAAATACAAAAATTAGCTGGGCATGGTGGTGCGCGCCTGTAGTCCCAGCTACTCGGGAGGCTGAGGCAGGAGAATTGCTTGAATCCAGAAGGTGGAGGTTACAGTCAGCGGAGATCATGCCATTGCACTCCAATCTGGGTAACAACAGCAAAACTCCGTCTCAAAAAAAAAAAAAAAAGACAGAGGGTGGAAGATAGTCCATAAGCCTCAGGGTCCCAGGTACTCCCCTCTAATCCAAGCCCCAGACACTCAACAGTACCTGTAAACGAAGCAAGCTGGAGTGGAACAAGATCTCAGTCTCCCGAAGGCGATTAAGCTCCTCATTGGTAGGCTCCTTGTACAGTTCTGCCCGGCTGAGCTTCACTGGCTGCAGGAGGCCCTTCACAGGAGGCTCAGCCAGTGTACGCTTTCTAGAGGATGCCTTTTTCCCCTCTTTGCCTTTGCCTTCCAGGGTTGGTTCCATCACCTATGGCCAGAGAGGGAGAAGCCCATGTGAGGTCATAGGTATGAAGCATCTGCTGCCTAAAGTGCGATCATGACAGGTTGTGAGTAAAGTCTTCACCTGTTCCTGGTCCCTCTTTTGAATAGGAGTCAGATTTTGTAAAACTCAGGAGAATCATTACTTGGAGGAACACCACTGAGTGCTGAACTGAAAATTCCTTGAGTTAAGAGCTCTCGTGTCTACCTGATACCACAAGCATGGAGCTGTTTGGAACTGGTAGGAATAGAAGCTGACTGGGCCCAGGCCAGACGCCATGGCTCACGCCTGTAATCCCAACACTTTGGGACGCTGAGGTAGGCGGATCAGCTGAGGTCAGGAGTTCGAAATCAGCCTGGGCAACGTGGGGAAACCCCATCTCTATTAAAAATATAAAAATTAGCCGGGTGTGGTGGTATATGCCTGTAATCTCGGCTACTCAGGAGGTCGAGGCAGGAGAATCACTTGAACCTGGGAGGCGGAGGCTGCAGTGACCTAAGATTGTGCCACTGTACTCCAGCCTGAGCAACAGAGCAAGACTGTCTCAAAAAAAAAAAAAAAAAAAAGAGGCTGGGCACAGTGGCTCATGCCTGTAATCCCAGCACTTTGGGAGGCCTAGGCAGGCGGATCAGAAGGTCAGGAGATCGAGACCATACTAGCCAACATGGTGAAATACAGTCTTTAAAAAACAAAAGAAGCTGACTGGGCTCTGTCCTAAGTAATGGCCAAGCCACTTGTATTTTCAGGTAGTTTCTTCTTCTGCTGATATAGGCCTGGGACGCCTCAAATATCTTTTCCATTCTCTCTCTAACCAAATCCCACCAGATTCCACCTCCTCTATTATACCCCAACTGCCTCAGTATATACTAAGTACTCATTGATGGAAGGAGCTAGAACGGACTGGACCCCAGAGGATACATTTAGTAAGTCATTAAATCCTTACAATTATTCCTGAAGACACTTAAAGTCTCACTACTCACTCGAGGTTCCACAACTGGTACACACGTACTATGAGCAGGCTTCAAAGGCAAGCATGCAGGATCCCAAACTTTTCCCCTGCAGCCGTGGGCCCATCCCCTCTACGATCCCTCTCACCCAAGAAAGCCTTACTGGAGTGCTCCAGGAGAAGCACCGTATGCCCTCCGCTACAGCGGGCAGCACAGAACTGGACACAAGTTCTGTAGAGGAAGGAAAATGCGCTTATCCTCAAGGAGGACCCAGGAAAGGAAACGACCCAAGTATGGGTCTCTTCAACTATGAGGTGCAGAGCTCAAGAAGGGAGCAGAGGCTCTACTGGCTTCACTGCTTCTGTCCAAATACTGCCAGGTTCCATTCCCCCTAGCAAGCCCTGTCTCAGTGCCACAGGCTGAGAATGGGCCGCCCGCATGGCCTTCACCCGCAAGCTGTCAGGACCCGCCATCTCGGGCCCTGCAGCCAAGGGAGCGCACATTGAGCCTCTGTTCCTCCCAGATGGTTCAACCCACCTCGGGCCCTCCAGTCGCTCCGCGCAGCTGCTTTCCAGCTGGCGCCGGATCCATCACTCGCGACCCAGGACTCTCCCACAATTGAGATTCAAGCTGGATCTATAGAGCAGCTTCCCACGTGGGCGGAAATTCCAAACTCCAGGCCCGAAGTCCCGCGGACCCCATATCCTCAGGACACCACCCACTCCAGAGCTATTGGATTATCCCTCGACTACTCGCTTGCCATTGGCCTGTCAGTCTCCAGGACCGCCCATTAAGGGAGGGGCCAAACTGATTTCTCTGATTTACGGCCTCTTCGCGACGCTAGACCGGAAGCCTGTCGGTAGCTAGGTTGTTGCTTTTCTTTTTTCCGTCGGCTTCCTTCGCTTGAGTCCAAACGGGTTGTTTACAGCAGTTATTCCTCCCTTTTTCTTTATTTACTACACCTTGTCAGTTAACAAATCTTGTCAGTTCTACCTCCAAAATATACCTTGAATTTATTCATTTTTCTCTGTCATTGCCGCCAGGTTTAGTCCGTCACATCATCTTTGTTCCCAGATTATTGTTATGGCTTTTCTCCAGTTTTTACTTATTACTTAGCTTATTACAATTTCAAATAATTTACTTATCTTTATTTTTTTTTAGCAGAGTCTCGCTCTGTCGCCCAGGCTGGAGTGCAGTGGCACGATCTCAGCCTGCAACCTCCGCCTCCCGGGTTCAAGCGATTCTCGTGCCTCAGTCTCCCAAGTAGCTGGGATTACAGGCGGGTGCCATCACACCCGGCTAGGCTAATTTTTTTTTTTTTTTTTTTTTCCCTGAGCGGAGTTTTGCTCTTGTTGCCCAGGCTGGAGTGCTATGACGATCTCAGCCCACCGCAACCTACGCCTCCCAGGTTCAAGTGATTCTCCTGCCTCAGCCTCCAGAGTAGCTGGGATTACAGATATGCACCACCACGCCTGACTAATTTTGTATTTTTAGTAGAGACAGGTACACACCTCGCCTGGCTAATTTTTTGTATTTTAGTACAGACAGTTTTACCCTGTTGCCTAGGCTGGTCTTGAACTCCAAGCTCAGGCAAGCCGCCCACCTCAGCCTCAGCCTTCCAAGTAGCTGGAACTACAGGCATGTGCCACCATGCCCAGCTAATTTTTGTATTTTTAGTAGAGACAGGTTTTCACTATGTTGGCCAGGATGGTCTCGAACTCCTAACCTCAGGTGATCCTCCCACCTTTGCCTCCCAAAGTGCTGGGACTACAGGCGTCAACCACCAAGCCTGACCCCCATCATTTTTCTTGCTACTCCACCCCTTGCTCCTTGAGCTCCAGCAACATCAGCCTTCTTTCAGTTCCTTCATTGTATTAAGTTCTTTCTCACCTCCAGGACTTCACCCAAGCTGTTTGTTCCACTTGGAATGTGCTTTCTTGGCTTATTCTACTTTTCATCTTTCATCCCTCAGCATAAATATCACCTCTGGACTCAAATCATCCTCTCACCCCAGCTTCCTGGCTAGCTGGGACCACAGGCATGCACCACCATACCCAACTAATTTGTAAAGACAGGGTTTCACCATGCTGCTCAGGCTGGCCTCTAACTCTTGGACTCAAGTTATCTGCTCATCCTTGGCCTCCCAAAGTGCTAGGATTACAGGCTTGAGCCACTGCACCCAGCCAATGTCTTAACTAAATGCCTAAAATACATTTTCTAAACATATTTAGATATGCTATATACTTTCTTTTCTCCCCCAACCCCTTTTTTTTGTGAGACGGAGTCTTGCTCTGTCACCCAGGCACACCATCTTGTCTCACTGCAACCTCTGTCTCCCAAGTTCAAGTTTCTCCTGCCACAGCCTCCAGAGTAGCTGGGCTTATAGGCACACGCTACCACATCTGGCTAATTTTTGCATTTTTAGTAGAGACGAGGTTTCACTTTGTTGGCCAGGCTGGTCTTGAAACCCTGACCTCAAGTGATCTGCTCATCTTGGCCTCCCAAAATGCTGGGATTACAGGTGTGAGCCACTGCACCCAGGCTAATATGTTTTCTTTCTCTCTCTCTCTTTTTTTTTTTTTTGAGATTGAGTTTCACTCTTGTTACCCAGGCTGGAGTGCCTGAACGCCTCCTGGGTTCAGGCAATTCTCCTGCCTCAGCTCCTGAGTAGCTGGGATTACAGGCACACGCCACCATGCCCAGCTAATTTTTTGTATTTTTAGTAGAGACAGGGTTTCACCATGTTGACCAGAATGGTCTCAATCTCTTGACCTCGTGATCCACCCGCCTCGGCCTCCCAAAGTGGTGGGATTACAGGCTTGAGCCACCGCGCCCGGCCAATTTTTTAATATTTGGTAGCAGTCTTGACCTCATAGCCTCAAGCAATCCTCCCACATGAGCCTCCCAAAGCACTGGGATTACAAGCATGAGTCACTTGCTTAGCCCAGTTGTCTCTTTTTGCCCTTGACTGTGAACACATGAAAACAGGACCAAGCAGCCGTACATGGTGGCTCATGCCTGTAATCCCAGCACTGGGAGGCCACAGTGGGCGGATCACCTGAGGTCGGCAGTTAAAGACCAGCCTGCGTGACATAATGAGACCTGGTCTCTACAAAAAAATAAATAATTAGCTGGACTTGGTGTTGGACACCTGTGATACTAGCTACTAGGGGTGCTGAGGTGGGAGGATTGCTAACGCCCAGGAGGTTGCGGCTGCTCTAAGACAATATTGAACCACTGTGCTTCAGGGCAACAGAGCGAGACCCTGTCTCAAAAATAAATAAATAAATATAAAAGTATTTT